GAGGGCTATTTTTTCTGATATAAGTATTGCTACCCCAGCCTTTTTTTTTTTTTCATTTCCATTTGCCTGAAAGATATTTTTCCATCCCTTCACTCTCAGTCTGTGTGAGTCCCTTATTCTGAGGTGGGTCTCTTGTAGACAGCAGATGTATGGGCCATGTTTTTTTATCCATTCAGCCACTCGATGTTCCACAGGGAATTTTTGTGCATTTCAGGCCCTTTAAGAGGGTGCCTGAACTTTCAGCTGTCACTCCCTGGCAGACAGCACCCAACTGCTTTTCACAGATAGATGTTATGTGGGTACCCTCCCAGTTTGGTGCTCTCTGCTGGGGAGCCCAGCTTCAGGATTAGACCCTAGAGTTCTCAGTGGCACCCCTCACAGCTGAGCTATCTCTCCGGGACTTCAGTTGCCGTCTGTGGGGGCCCGGCCAGCCCTTTTGCGCCTCCACCCCTCCTACCAGTCTCTTTGCGTCTCCACCTTTGGTCCTTGGGTATCAGGGTTCCCTCCTGTGAGTCTGCCATTGATTATTCAGGAATTCTCTCCGTATTTCGGTTGTAATCCCAGCTTGTTCCTGGGAGCATGTCCGTGCAGCATCCACCTACTCCCCCACCATTTTTAATTTGTTGTTTTTGTTTCACTTAATGTTGTCTTGCCAAGATTCACACGTGTTGTTGCATCTAACATCGCACCTTCCTTTTGTTGCTGTGTGATAGTCTGCATCCTTTCCCCTTTATCCGGCTCTTTGACTCCTTCCCTGCAAGCCCCGCCCCGGAGAGCCATCCTGGGTGGCGCCCTGGCGGTTGGGTGTGACCTGCTCTGCCTCCCACGTCCCCCCGGGAGAGCTGCGGCCCAAGGGCCACTGTTTCCTCAGCCCCACTTTGCCCTGGTCCAGTCTGAGGTTGAAGCACTGGCTGAACAACTGAGTGAGGAAGAGGAGGAAGAGGAGGAGGAAGAAGAGGAGGAGGAGGAGGAGGAAGAGGAGGACGAGGAGTCTGGCAATCAGTCTGACAAGGTGAGAGCGGGAGGCTGGATGGCCCGAGGCCCCAGGGTTCCAGAGGGTCTGGGGCCGGCTCCCTAACGCGCCCTCCTCCCCAGAGTGGTTCCAGCGGCCGGAGAAAAGCCAAAAAGAAATGGCGGAAGGACAGCCCCTGGGTGAAGCCGTCCCGGAAACGGCGGAAGCGGGAGCCTCCACGGGCCAAGGAGCCACGAGGTGAGGAGGCTCCTCTGCTTTGGGGTGCCCTCCTTCAGCCCCCTCCCAGCCCCAGAGAGCGTGCACGAGCACACGCTCACGCATGTACCCACACATCAGGCGCCTGTGAGCTCGCACTCTCACTCTCTCTGTCTCTGTGTCAGGAGTGAATGGTGTGGGCTCCTCAGGCCCCAGTGAGTACATGGAGGTCCCTCTGGGGTCCCTGGAGCTGCCCAGCGAGGGGACCCTCTCCCCCAACCACGCTGGTAATTAATTGCCAATTGCTGGGATAGGGAGCCACTAGGGGGCACCGTCAGGACTGGAGGGAAAGGGGAGGAGGGGGACCCCACTGGAGCCAGGGTGTTCATGGCCAGGCTTTGGGGGTTCTGGAGCATGGAGGGAAAGGCAGGCAGGGTGGGGGGGCGAACGGCCCCGCCAGGGGTCCCGGTGGGTGAGGGGCAGGGCCCCCCTCAGCTCCCTTTCTCCTCTGTCCAAGGGGTGTCCAACGATACTTCTTCCCTGGAGACGGAGCGCGGGCTGGAGGAGCTGCCCCTGTGCAGCTGCCGCATGGAGGCGCCCAAGATCGACCGCATCAGCGAAAGAGCAGGGCACAAGTGCATGGCCACGGAGAGCGTGGACGGAGAGGTAGGCTGAGGCGGAGAAGTGGGCCGCAGAGGAGCA